CAATGTTTCTAGCTCTCTATCCCTCTCCTTTCCTCTCTGTAAAAAAAAAAAACAATAAAAATATATATATTAAAAAAAAGAAAAGAAAAGAAAGGTATAGGCCAGGGGTCGGCAACCTTTAAGACATAAAGAGCCACTTGGACCTGTTTTCAAAGGAAAAAAAAAAACCTGGGAGCCGCAAAACTATTGCGACATTTAAAACAAATATAACACTGCATATATTGTTTCTTACCTTAATGCTATTGTATTATATATACCGGATCGTGCAGAGAAAGGATTTTTTCACTTAACAAAAAGTGTTGCATGCGGCTCCGGAGCCGCAGGTTGCCGACACCTGTTAGGCTACAGCTCTTGAATCATGGCCAACTAACAAGGTCAAGTATTTAAGTAAGTGAAGAAAGATGAATTTCTATGGCTAACAGTGATTCAACGTTAGTCATACTTTCATGGCAAGATATAAGCTAAATTACATGGAAGTGAGCAGCTTGAACTTACAACTTAGCTGGTCTAAAGTCCTCCTGAATGATATGGGAGTTCATATAGAATAGGCATAATTTTAGGGTTGCCTCTTTTTTCTCAGTATATACACACAGTCACACATGTACACAAACCTACACATGCACACAATATTCATGTTGGACATTTGTAATCCAGGCATTATAAATAATTCCTATCCACTTTTTAAAAGTGGGTTATGTCCACCTAAACAGTGCACAACTGTTTACAGTGCCTTCTTTTCCATTCCCGCAGCAATATCTATAGTAGCTATTTCACAGGAGGCAGCCACCCATCGCCGCCACTACAGAATTTACAAACATATGGTGTCACTTTGCCACGCCAACTTCTAGGTATTCACTCTGCATTTTGACAAAAGAAGAAACCTAAGTCTCAGAGATCATCATTTTTGTGCCAGTATGATGGTCAGGTTTTTATTTTGGTCATAAATTATCATTACTAGCATGTTATATTTAGATTCATAGCAGTACCACAAAGACTGACAACAATCTGGTGTTCAGATTTATCGGCTAACATTTCTCTCCTTCATATTCTCTATGAGGTTAGTACCTAAATGTATATATTGTCCATGTAAACCCTCCCCCCCCTTATTTGTGGTTTCAGCTACCTGTGGTCAACCATCATCCAAAAATATTAAATGGAAAATTTCCAGAATAAATAATTCATGTTTTAAATCGTGTGCCTTTCTGTGAGTAGCATGTTGATTTCATGTCACCCCCTTCCATCCCTTGTAAATCGCCCCTTGTCCAGCTTGTCCAGGCTGTGTATGCCACCTCTCCGTGACTCCCTGGGGAGCACCTAGGTTATCAGACTGACAGTCATGGTTTCACAGTGCTTATGTTCAAGGGACACTTTACTTAATAATGACCCCAAAGCCATTTGCATAACTTAAAAGTGTTCTACTTTATTTTTATTTATTGCTGTTAATATTTATTGTGCCTAACTTACAAATCAAATGTTATCATAGGAATGTATGTATAGGAAAAACAAATTATATGTGGGGTTTGGTACCACAAGTGGTTTCAGGCATCCCCTGGAGGCCTTGGAACTTACGCTGTGGCTCAGAGGGGACCACTGGACGTGACAGATGCCCTTAGGAAGGGCTGTAGGCCTCTCTTGCCTCAAACAGAAATAACCCTGGGTAAGAAGTACACGTATGTTCTCAGGATGCTAGGGTTCTGTGTTTCCACTTTAGAATATTTCTAGCCAGTGTTGTTTGTTAAAAAGATAGGGTTTGGGATCAGAATGCCCCGTGCTTCAGTCCCCACTCTTTCACCTAGTTGCACGGTGCTTTAGGAAAAGTACAAAACCTCTCTCAGTCTGTTTTCCCTTCTAAAAATGAGGATGGTTTCCCTTATGTTGTTAGGGTTAATTTAAAATGACCTAAGACCAGAAAAGGAAATTTAGGTAAAAACTAAGAAAATCTGAATAAACTATATATTTTAGTTAATAGTAAGTGTCATTATGGGTTCTTTGTTGTAACAAATGTACCATATTACAGTAAAATATCAATAATGGGGAAACTAGGTGAGGATCACATAGAAACTTTCTGTACAGTTTTCTCTATGTTTTAGTAAATCTAAAACTTCTTAAAAATATATATATATATATATATATATATATATATATATATAGTCTATTTTTAAATATGACCTAAGTGAAGTGTCCTGCACATAGTAGGTGCTTGAAAAATAAGTATTATAAATATAGACTCTTTGGTTTTGTAATGTGCATCATATGCAGTATGATATAATATTATTTTTATCCCCAGCTTTATTGAGATAATTGACATATAACATTGTCTAAGTTGAAGGCACATAGTTTGATGATTTGATATGATCTCTTCTTTTCCCCAATTCAGCAACTCTTTTTCATAGGCAGTTTTCTTTCTCTCCCTCTATGTCACTCTATTCCCTTTCTCCACATCAATTCTAGTTCATTCATATCCAGTCTACTACAAACTCATATTTAGTTAACAACTTGTTTATATTTCTCCAAGACTAATATTAGTTCATCATTCTTATTTGTTGGATTTGAATTTTACCACAGTAATTATGCAGTTTAGTTACTTTCAATGAGGGGTCATTTACAATTCTTTTTAATTTTTTTAATTGATTTTAGAGAAAGGGAGAAGGGCAGAGAGATGGAAACATGGATGAGAGAGAAACATCAATCAACTGCCTCTCCTATGTCCCTTACTGGGGATCAAGCCTGCAAACACGAGCATGTGCCCTGACCAAAAATCAAACTGGGGAACCTCCTGGTTCATGGGCCAACATTCAACACTGAGCAACACTGGCCAGGATCCTTTTTTTTTTTTTTTTTTTTTTAAATTATCATTTTATTAAAAGTTCCAAGCTTTCTACTGGGAGGGGGGGAAAATGGCAAAACACCCTATTCCAGAAAGATTCTAAAAACAAAGCTATAGCAATAGAAAAGTTTGGCTTCTCTTGTAATAAGAAGATAGATACTCAGCTTCCTATGACAGCCAACAGTCCTGAGGCAGCTTTGCTAGGATGTGTATTGGCACTAATTTGTTGCAATAACTAAAAATAGTTTGACCAAATGCCAATGTTATCAATCTGTTTTGTGGCCTCTCTGATGTTAAGGTCATGTGTAAAACCAAAACCCTCTTGCTCCTCAAAAGCACAGCTTTGAAAGGATTCAGGTAAAAGGTACAATCAGATGAGAAGACCTGAGCCTCTGGATAATCTTTCCCAGGTGGCTGACTATAATCTTTCTCAGGTGGCTGACTTGTTTACAAGCGGGTCTCTGTGAGAACAGATTTCTCTCATTCTAGTGCTGGATGTCAGCATCTATCTAAAGGACAGCGCAAGCAGGAGCCTTTTGCTTGATAAAAGGAAGTTGCTTGTTTGTTCTGTAAATCACAACAGTTTTCATTGCCAAAACTAAGACATTTGATGGTTGGTGATTTATTAATGGGATAGGTTTTAAAGATGGAATTTCCCCTGCTAATAAAGACACAGTTACCATAATAATCCCAAGCTGAAACCTGAAATATCAGGCCCCATCACCCAATATTAAAAGAATATCCAGGAAACTTGGACTGTTCGGAGGGTACTTTTCCTCTACTGTAGTCCCAAATACAGGCTGAAAAAGCAAGAAGCTAGTGATGGGGGGGGGGGGGGGGGGGGGGGCAGGAGGGGGTTTGGAGAATGGAGTGTGTAATCCACCTGCTATTTCTCAACCAGAAAATGAGTTTTATTTTTAATAAAACTGGTCCTCAAAATTGAACTAGCTGGAATACATCATCAGTGCTGGCTGGTGTGTGTACAAATGTGAGCAAAGCAAACAGAGCAACCTGGGCTCGCTCAAGATAAGGGTGGATAAATATAGGAAGTCCTCAGACTCTACTACAGCAACATAAAATTCAGTCTTAACTGGCAGCAACCAGAAATTCACTATTTTAAGAAACTGGTCTCACAACCTCGCTGGGGCTGGAGCTGGCTCCGCACAGAGCCCTCCGGGCCTTCACTAGCCGTTCTGGGAGCTCACGTGCTGCACATTCACGGAGGGAGGAGACAAAACACTGCGCTGACTTTCTCCCCTGACTCACCCCACCTGGGCGCTGACCCCTTCCTCCCCCTGGCCCCAGCAGATAGAAATAGATGCTTTTTTCACATCAAAGGCCGCTCAGCCTGGCTCCAACCTCAGACCCAGAAAGCTTCTCAAGCTTGTCATTGCGAGGCTTTTTTGCTGGAGCATTTTAGGGGGGCAGGCACGGAGGGCCTCGGAAAGCCAGAAGGTCGCGGCGAAGTCACCTTGGGAGGCAAAGAGGGCCAGGGGAGGACGGCAGAGGGCCTGACCCGGGCAGGAGGACCAGAGGGAGTGCCCCTGCTTTGGGGTTCGTGAGGAAGAAGACGGGGGATCGGAGGGCACCCAGGAAAGTGGTGCCCCAGGTCCCTTAGGCGACCCCAGTCGCGATCTGCTGACCCTGGGGAGGGAGGAGGGTGCCCTTCCCTTCCCGGTGAGACTGGAAGCTTCGTCTTCCCAGCTTGCTCTCTCCCGCCCGGCCCGGCGGTGGCTCTCAGCATCCGAGAGCCCAGCGCTGCACGGCGGCGCTCCGCCGGCTCCGCTCTGGCGCCCCCACCTGCCGGCGGCCCCGCCGGGCAGCGCACGCCCCGGAGGGCGGGCCTGGAGCGGAGAGCCGCCGCCCGCCGCCGCCGGAGGGTGCCGGAGCCCCGGGCGAGGCAGGCCTCTGTGGGCGCCCAGGCTGCCCGACCCTCCCGGAGCCTCCGGGGCCACCGAGCAGGACCGGGGAGGCCCGGGGCGCGGCGCTGCAACCCAGGCCCCTCCGGGATCCCGGCCGCGGAGAGGGGGCCGCGCAGCCCCTTCCCCAGGGCGCGGTCTCCACCCCCCGCTCCTCCCCGCCCGCGGCGCCGCCGGCTCCCATTGTCCGCCCCGCCCGCCCGGCGGCTCCCCGGCGCCGCCTGCCGCTGGGCCTCCCGGGCGGCGGCACCTACCTTCTGCTGCCGGCGGGCCATGTCGGTGGGCTGCTTGGCGTTGAAGGGGTAGGCGATGCAGCGCATCACGAACACGTAGAGCTGCAGCCGCTTCTTCCTCTCCTCCTCCTCCTTCTGCAGCCGCTCCAGCTCCTCCTTCTCCTTCTCGCTCACCACCGACGGGCTGGGGCTGGAGGGCCGGCCGCCGCCGGCGCGGCTGCTGGGCTGCAGCCCCCCGGCCCCGCCGCCGCCGCTGGCTCCGCTGCCCCCGCCGCCGGCGCCGACCCCGGCCCCGGCGCCCGCGCCGCCGCCCCCCAGCCCCGCGCCGCCGGCCGAGCCCTCGCTGGTGCGGCTGGGGGACAGGCGCGCGCCGGGCGCGGCCGAGCCCAGCGCCTCCTTGCCGCTCTCCTCCTCCACGATCTCATCCGATTCCTCTTCGCTGGACGAGGGGTCCAGCATGGTGCTGCCTGGAGAAGGGGGGGGGTCCCCCTGGAGCCTCGACTTGGGGGCGCTGGAGGCAGCTGGGGGTCGGCTCTCCCGGATGGGCGCTTCTCCCCAAATCAGGGAGCGAGTGAGCGCCCTACAGCTCAGCCTCGGCCGCCGCGACTGCTTCCTCCGCCCGGCGATCCGGAGCTGCGCCCAAAGCCGGGAGCGCGAGGGGAGGAAAGGAGGAAGGGAAGAGAGAGAGAGAGGCGCGTCCGGGGCCCGAGATGGGCAAAGGGAGACAGTCAACGGCAAGCCCGGAGCCCGCAGCCGAATGCCATCTGCAGCCGCGGAAGGAGGTGCCTGCAGGAAAGATGCCGAGTGTTGCAAGCTGTCTATGCAGCCAAGAGCCGGAGAGGCAACTTGCCGATTGGGGAGGGTGCGGCGCTTACGTGTTTATTGGCTTAACTCTCCAGTGTCCGTGGCGCAAAGGGCGGCTGCTGAGGGCTGGAGCCTGAGAGCGCTAGCGACCCCGAAGCCTCAGAGCTTCATTGCCGACCCTAAGGCTTTCCTACCCTCTTCTCCGCCCCTTCCTTCTGTGGACAGTTTCCTCCTCGATCCTCAGTTCTCTCCCTGCCCCGACCTCTCTCCCCCCTCCCACGGACAAAAGTTCTGGAGGGAGGAAGAAATACACTAGCCAGTGATGACTTGATAGCGAGGAGGCTCAATCCAGAGGTCTCACTAAGAGGAAGCCAGCGAGATGCCGCGTGGTAAAGTGCCTGCCCCCTTTCGTGTGGGCAGGGTATGTGTCCCACCTGTGTAAACTCGGACCCCGGCAATTGGCTTTACATACGCTCGCTTTTGTTAAAAGTGATCAGATTAGGGAAGGTTTGTGTATCGGCCTTGCGGCTCAACTAATTTAAGTAGGAAAAAAAGCTATGATGGACATTTAAGTAGAAAAAACGCTATGGTGGACATTTAAATAGGAAAAAAAAAAAACTATGATGGACATCCTTCAATTCCAAGAACTGGGAACACTTTCTTCCCTGATGAGCCTAGCAGAGAAATAGAAGGGTTTCTGGTTTTCAGCCCTTTCTCCATTCTAGCTCGCTGGAGGATCTGGGTAGAGGCGTGGGGACCCCTAGAATAGACAAAGTCTTTCCCCTCCCCCCAAAAAAGAAAACTCGTTGGCATCAACATCTAATACGATGACTCTGTCGCACCGTCTTCATCCCTGGCTCCCAGTTATCTATTAATTCAAAAGCAGCAGATGGTGCCTTCCTCCCTGTGCTCCTAGGCCAATAAATCCGCTGAGAGCGGAGCTGGCCAGCGTGCTGAATCTAATCAGCGACCCGCAGATGGATTGAAAACAAACCAGCCCTCTCCAGCCTTGGGTCTTAAGCTGTCTAGAGACTTCTCTCCAACCTATGTGCTATATTTATGTATTTTCTAATGCTCTAATTTTTCGAAGGTACTGATGGGAGTTGTAAATGTATAGTGGGAACTTAAAGTTTACATCACATCTGTCTTTATGGTCAAATGCATCATGAGTTTGCTAGAGGCTTTCATATTCAAGTGAAGCTCCCTAATGAGTCTCTTTGAGAACTAAAAATAAACCTAAGTTTCCACTTAACCCTAACCACCGCTGTTTGATTTTTTTGAATAAGGTAATATATTTGACTTTACTACCATACTCCCTTCAAGGGCGTACATAACTTTTGTAGTCATCACTCATTCTCTACCAAATTTAAAATAAATAATCAAGTGATGTGGAAATTGTTACAACTTGGCAGTCTTCACGTTATCATTATTTTAAAGACATAAAAGATGTTCAAAGTATATTGTAATGGTTTCCCTGGAAAAGAAATTGTAGCAAGCCAAACAATTGAGCAATAACTTTTCTTCAGCACTTTTTATGGGGTGAACATTGTTCTAGGCACTTAGGGTAGATGTAATTTTTAGAAGACACTCCTTAAAGAGTCTATAATGTCCTTTAGGAGATAAAACATAAACAAGTAAAAAAACAAACAAACAGACAGCATGTACCTCAAGACAACATATCAACAAATCCAAGTTAGTACACTGCTAAAAGCTTGCATGGACAAAGTAACAGAATGGAACAGAATCACATATTTCTCAAAGAAGTGAGTTATATTTTAAAGGAAGGAACCATATGCATGTATGGTGCAAAGGGAAGATATTGCAAATGGGAAAAGTGACTTTGCCAAGCCATAGTGATAGGACTAGGGACCAAATGAGGTACAAAGTGTTATGGAGATAGGGTGTGGGCAAGTAAGGAGGAAACAAAAAAGGGGGAAAAAAAGAGGCAAAATAATAACTTATTTGGCCAAAAGGAGGGATCACGTTTGAGACACAAATGAATTTAGTTAGATAGGAAGCATGTGATGATTTGTGGAAGGGTTGCTCTTTCAGGGGTCCTCAAACTTTTTAAAGTGGGGGCCAGATCACGGTCCCTCAGAGAGCTGGAGGGCCGGACTATATGAACTACTAATTCCTACTGTAACACCTCGGCTGCGCTCACTGCCCAAAAAACCTGGTGGGCCGGATCAGACTCCTCTGCGGGCCGCATGTGGCCCGCGGGCTGTAGTTTGAAGACGCCTGCGAAAGGTCAGAAAAAGGCCATTCATCAAGTTTTTTTTTTTTATATTGAAATATCAATGGTAGAGAGTGACCATGACTTCTGTCTTAAATACTATAATAAAGGGCATGTTCCCTGACCAGAAATGAAATCGTGACCTCCTGGTTCAAAGGCCGATGCTCAACCACTGAGCCATGCTGGCTGAAAGAGTTTTATATTTTTACAAATTCCTTTAGATTTGTGGGGGGTTTGCCTATTAAACTAATTAAAATATAAACTCAGCCAAAATAGGTTTGGCTCAGTGGTTAGAGCGTAGGTCTGCAGACTGAAAGGTCCCAGGTTCGATTCCGGTCAGGGGCATGTACCTTGGTTGCAGGCACATCCCCAGTGGAGGGTGTGCAGGAGGCAGCTGGTTGATGATTCTCTCTCATCGATGTTTCTAACTCTCTATCCCTCTCTCTTCCTCTCTGTAAAAAAATCAATAAAATATATTTAAAATATATATATATAAACTCAGTATCTTCCTTTGTTAATCATATACCATATTTTTCGGATCATAAGACGCTCCGGACCATAAGACGCACCAGTTTTTAGAGAAGGGAAATGAAGAAAAAAAGATTCTGAAACAAATAGTGTCCTAAAATATTTTATGTGCATTAAAACCCAACATCACAGTCATAAACACATGTAATCAACCCTGTAAAGTAAACAGCAGCATTTAGAACCATTTTAGAGCTGGGCAAGCACACAGAGACCACACAGAGCCGGGCAAGTAAAAAAACTTTTTTTTTAAAGTATATGTATAGGCTATATTTGGACCATAAGACGCAGGGACTTTTTCCCCCCACTTCTGGGGGGAAAAAAGTGCTTCTTATGGTCCGAAAAATACGGTAAATCTCTGCTTTGGTTATGAGTTATAACATAAACTAGACTAATATAATGCTCTTCTAAGTGTCCCCATGCATATTCAAATAGGCATTAACAGATTTTAATATAAATACTTTTATAATTTTAATGTCTATTTGATGTCTATTAAAATGTATATCCTTTCAAAGATATTTTTTACATTAGCTAAAAGCCAAGTCAATGTCCTTGATGATATCATAACTCTTCTACTGCTGAAGGTCAGATATGCCAAGCAGAACTCAGGCATCTAACAAGGAAATATGGCTTTCCTAGATTCAAATTCTGATAAACAAGAAAGGAAATAACCCCAGAACACATTCAAAAGCTCTTAGCATCTATCTTTGTTAACATCCATATTCTTATTTTAGAAAAATACAATCCTACCAAAGATTCCAATATGCGCAAGTATTTATATCCTCAAATAAGCTCTTTTATGTTTGCATGTTTGACCCTCACCTCCTCCAGTTCTGCCTGGAATAACTTGAATAACCTCAAGGTGATGGAATAAATTTTAGTCAGCCATCTGGAGACCATATCATGAAAGTAGTAGTTATAACATTGCTTTTTTGATCCCACCAACTAGGAGGAAATTCTAGAGGAAATGGAAATAAGTAAGACACTAAACCAAGGTTTCCTAATCTAGACCTAGATTATCACCATTAGTCTCTGCGGTGTTTGATGTGATTATGTACAAGACCACAAGTGTGAGGGGATGTCTAACTCTGGCAATTGATAGACACTTCGGTGAAAAACAATCACATCTTTACTCATATAACATGTTTCAGTGAAATAAAACTGAGTTTAATGCCTATTTTAATTTTTTGTGTGTTTGTTACTAAGAGTTTGGCCAAGTGAAATTTTTTAAATCTCACAATAAAGTTTATGTTATCTAGAAGGTAATAATCTCATTCGATCAAAATTTTATTTGTAAAATTTTGCACCAGAATGGTCATTTGAACTTTATGGTATGTCTCTGTTGAGTTAAATGCTTGGTCTCTCAATCCCAATAGCAGAATTATTCTGAGAAAGTTATTTAATGATTTAGATAGAAATTCCTAAGGGACAATAGTATTCACTGTGGAATGACATGAAAATTATTAGAAGTTATATTAAAAATAAATTTGAATAGATTTTTTTTCAACTAGTAAAAGAAGAACTTGCAATAAATGAGATGACCAAAATTGAAAATAAATAATTGAATGGAAAAAACAACATTCAAAAAATTAAGTCCTGGCTGGGTGGCTCAGTTAGAAAAAAAAAAAAAAAAAAAAGGTTGCTGGATTGATTCCCAATCAGGGAATCAACTAATCACTAATTGATGGTTTCTCTTTCATATCAATGTTTCTCTCTCTCAAAATATCAATAAAATATATTTGGGTGAAGATAAAAAATAAAAACTTTTAAGATTAAAAAAATCAAATAATCTAGAAATAGATTCTTGAATAAAACAATGTTCACTTGCTAATTTATTTAATTGATCCTTGTCTTATTTTAGATAGTATTTTCAGGGACTTAGTGGTTTATTTGAGAAATCTTCTCTTCATCATTACTCTTTATCATCTGGTGATTCTTGCTGATGTGAAATGAATTTGGGTTAGGATGAAATTAAGGGATAGTCTTTTTTTTTAAATATATTTTATTGATTTTTTACAGTGAGGAAGAGAGAGGGATAGAGAGTTAGAAACATCGATGAGAGAGAATCATCGACCAGCTGCTTCCTGCACACTCCCCACCAGGGATGTGCCCACAACCAATGTATACATGCGTCTGACCAAAATCAAACCTGGACTTTCAGTTGGCAGACCGACACTCTACCACTGAGCCAAACCGGTTTTGGCAAAGGGATAGTCTTAAGACTAAAAATAA